TTTTTTTTTTTTTGGTACCGGGGATCAAACTTGGGACCTTGTGCTTGTGAGGGAGGTGCTGGAACCACTGAGCTAAATCCCTGCCCTGACACCTTCTTATTCCTATGAAAATAGTCTGGACCTCACAGATCCCTCCCTAAAAGGTTCTCAGGGAGCCTCAGGATTCCAGAGTCCACAATTTGAGAGACACAAGTATAAGCTGTATGACCTTGGGCACATTTCTTAAAGTTGTTAAGTCTCAATTTGTAAAACCGGGATAATTATACCAAATTATTGGGGTTGTTATAAGGACTGAATTAATATACAAATACGTGAGAAGGTGGCACATTTCATTTATCTTAGCAGTTGTTATTTGTGCAAAATAACTTCACTTTTCATATTAGATATGTGCTGTCAAAGTAGTTACCTCTGGGTGACAAAATTCATTTCTTTAATTTTTTTTTTTTTTGGCACCAGGGATCAAACTAGGGACCTTGTGCTTGCGAAGCAGGTGACGGCACCACTGAGCGAAATCCCCGGCCCTTAAATGCTTATTTAAGAAATGAATTTTGGGGCCAGGGATTTCACTCAGTGGTGCCACCGCCTGCCTCGCAAGCACAAGGTCCCAAGTTTGATCCCCGGTACCAAAAAAATAAAAGCATTTAAGTTGAAGTTCATCATACACACTCACAGAAGCACAAAACAGCAAGCATACAGCTTGATGGTTTTTCACAGAGTGAATTTATTTTATCTTTAAACTTTTTTTTACAGAAAAAGAAAGAAGGCTCTCATGGTTCTCTTCATGATAGCTCATCCTGTGTCCTCCGGGGAGGACTTTTTATCTTACTTTTTCTCTTCTTTTGGGCCCAAGATCACTCTGCAGAGCCAGTTTCTTCCTCAATCGTCATTTTTACTTTTCAAATAAACTTTGTCCTTTTCTGTTCATTTCATTCAATTCTTTGTTCAAGGTGAGAAGAATGTGGAATCCAACTCCAGCAGGAGAGGCAAGCAACCCAAAGCCCAAACTGAAAAGCATTTGGTGAGAAGCCTTAGATCAGATGGAGAACATCTGGCCCACCTGCTGTGAGAAAGTACACAACACCTGCATGAGAAGAAGCCGGCTGTTTTGGGATGACCCATCAACACCTATACAAACCATGCCTAAATCAGCTTCCCAGCAAGATAGACTTTGCTTGTTTGTTTTGTTTTTGACACAGGGTCTTGCTATGTAGTTCAGGCTAGCCTTGAACTCACTATGTAGCTCAGGCTGGCCTAAAACTAGGAGCAATCCTCCTGACTCAGCCTCCCGAGTGCTGGGATGACAGGCATGCACCACCACGCCACCTGTAAGATGGACTTTGGACATGAGTCCTCCATCTTGTTGAGCAGCTGGCTTTTTGAATAAAGTCATTTTCCGTGTGAAGAGAAGAGAAGAGAAGAGAAGAGAAGAGAAGAGAAGAGAAGAGAAGAGAAGAGAAGAGAAGCAAAGCATGTTGGTGCACACACCTGTAATCCAGGACTCAGGAGGCTGATAGGAGAATCACCATGAGCTCGAGGCCAGCTTGGGCTACACAATGAGTAAGCCAGCCTGAACTACATAGTGAGACCCTGTCTCAAAAAAAAGAAAGTTCAAAGAAAAGAGAAAGGTGTTAAGACTCAACAGCACCATTTTCCACACCCCAGCACCACGGGCTGCAACATGATGTTCCTGTAGTGCAGGAGGAGCCACACTGAGGAGCTCTGCTGACTGCACCTCTGCTGCCACCGGGTTTCCCTCGGCTCCAGGAAGAGCATGGAGCACAATCACAGGGTGAGAGCTGGCATTGTTACAATACTGGCTTCCACTCCATACCCAGTTCAAGAAACCCAGGGGCCAAATTAAAACATAATCATTCTGAGTAACATTTATACTGCAGCCACTATGAGCATGGAGTGCACTGTGCACCCTCCAGAAAAAAAAAAATTATTTTTCATCACAAAGTTCCTTGTATTAGCAACAAAGATTCTGCAAAACAATAGTGGTGCCCCCCCTTCTTCTTTTGTTTTTAGCTATGTAATCCAGGCTGGCCTTGAACTCACTATGTACCCCAGGCTGGCTTTGAACTTGCTGAAATCCCCCTGCCTCAGCCTCCCAAGTGCTAGGATCATAGGCATGAGCCACCATGTCTGGCTTACCCCTCTCTTCTTTTTTTTTGGTACCAGGGATCTAACCTGGGACCTTGTGCTTGGGAGGCAGGCGGTGGAACCACTGAGCTAAATCCCCATCCCTCCCCCTCTCTTCTTAATGCAATTGAGGGCGAAGTCAGTGCCTGAGAAGCTGGCTGGAGCAACTTTAAAGTACAATGAACTATTTCAGTGTAGAATGAATTGCAAAGTGGTAACATTAAGCAAGATATAGTTAAAAATACAGTAGCAAATATTTACCCCATTACTATTTGGTAAAAAGATCTTGAATCGTTTTTTCTTGTTTTTTTGGTGAAGGGATGAAACCCTGGGCTCCATACACTCAGAAGCAGGACCCTGAATCTGCAAAACTTATTTTTGGTGGACCAAAAGGTACCTGCTTCCTACCATTGTTGATTTTTCATAAAAGTTCAACATCAAAAGAACCTGTTGCTCCCTGCATTTTCTTTAGGGCTACACTGCCCTCAAGGTTTGTCTACACATGGGCCGGGAATTTAGCTCAGTGGTGCCACCACCTGCCCTGCAAGCACAAGGACCCGAGTTCCATCCCTGGTACCAAACAAACAAACAAACAAAAAGATTTGTCTACACACTTTCAGAAGGAAAATTTAAAAGATGAAAATTTTTTTCCAATCCTACCGATATCTACCAACATACAACATCCTAGCAGATACAAGGATATACATGCATTCATGGCATTAACCACCAGAGTGAGGGTGTCACCATGTCACAGAGCCTCTAGGGATGACACTGTACACCTGTGAGAGAACAAGTAAAAAGGCAATAACTTGGGAAAAGTTACTATGAAACACCTGCTTATGTGCATAGGAAATAGTCGCCTCTGGATTCTAAATAACAGAATTTCTAGTGCTATTAAGAATTTAGTATTTGTGGGCTGGGGATTTAGCTCAGTGGTTTCGCCGCCTGCTGCGCAAGCGCAAGGACCTGAGTTTGATCCCCAGTACCAAAAAAAAGAAACAAAAGAATTTAGTATTTGATATATAATGTTGATTTTCCAAAAACAAAATGTCCTGCAAACCTAAGTCATAAATCTCTGAGACGCCGAAGAAGATATCTTTACCCCGGCCCCAGCTGCCCACTGGCCCGTGAGATGACACGGAAGACAGGCAGCGCTGTATAACATGGAGCACTGAATGCCAGGTCGGGTCAGGACTCGGGCATCCCAGAATGCACTTGGTCCCAGATGCTGTCAAACCAGCTGAGGTGAGGTGACGTCACAAATGAACAACATGGTACCGTGAAATCTCAAATTACAACAGGATTCCACCAAGAGAAAGTAGAGGTCTCTGGAGAGAAACTGACCCTGAAAACACCAACACATAAATCCCACATGAGTGGTGCAGAGATGGTGGTGACACTGTGTGCCACACACAGACTAAACTATGTGACACTACTAGCAGTAAGCACGGCTGCTGTGGAAATGCATTTATTCACAAGTGATTTGTGCGGCCTCACTGAACGCTGGACACATCCTTGCAACTCAGCAACCTTCACACAGGTTCGGGGAAGAAGTCAAGAACACATAGGAAGAATCAAGGTAAGAATAAGGCATGGAGGAAAGAGAAGGGAGAGGATGTGGATGAAGAGGAGCAGGAGGCAGGAGGAGGCGCTGGAGCTGGACTGAGGGCTGCGGGGCTTACATTCTTCCAGAACTCTCTGTATGGTCCTGTGCATGTCATTGTTTCTTTACAGCCACCCTGAGAAATAAACAGAAAAGAGCTATAATACTGCAACTCTAGCAGGGGCACGGGAAAGCGGGAGTAGGGATGGGCGGGGGGACCAGAGCCCAACAAATATTTTAAGGACCAACTTAAGAAGAAAATGGACAGATCAGTCGGAATAACTGTTAAAGTTTGTAACCGTTTTATTAAAGTTCTTTAATTTTTTTTTCAGTGCTGGGGGTTGAACCCAGGGCCTTCTCACTAAACCACATTCCCTCTTTTAAAGAAATTTTTGGAGAGGGTCTCCCTAAGTCACTAAGTTGCCCGAGATGGGGTTATACTTCTGACCTTCCTGCCTTAGGCTCCCAGAGTGCTAGGATTACAGGTGTGCCCCACTACACCCAGTAAATTCTGTAACTTTAAGTTATTTTGCTAAAGATAAAGTTCTGGGTAGTAAAGGAATTGAAAGCAGGATCTTGTACATCGGTGTTCATACCCACTATTCACAATGGCCAAGAAGCAGAAGCAACCCAAGCACTCGTGGTGGATAAATGGATAAACAAAATGAGGGCTATACATACAATGGAATATTATTCATCTCTAGAAAGGAAGGAAATCCTCTCACATGACATGGGTGAACTTTAGGGACATTAAACTAGCAGTGAAATAAGCTGGTTACACACAGACAAACTGTGTGATTCTACTTAAAGGATACATTAAGAGTGGGCAAAATCTTGGACAGAAAGTAGAATGGCAGTTGCCAGAGCTGAGGGATGGGAGGAGGGGAGCTACTGCTTAACGGGTACAGAGTTTCAAGTTTTGCAAGAGGAAAAGTTATAGAGATGGCTGGTGCTGACGGCTGAACACTATGCATGTGTTTAATAACACTGAACTGTGCATTAACACACACTTGGGACAACCCAAATGTGGTGACTTGGGCTTATAATTCCAGCTACTTGGGAGGCTGAGGCAAGAGGACTGAATGTTCAAAGCCAGCCTGGGCAACTTGGGGAGACCCTGACGGTGTAGCTCAGTGATAGAGCACTTGCCTAGCATATGCAAGGCCCTGGGTTTAACCCCAAGCACTATACACACAAAAAAGGTTAAGACAACACATTTTATGTTCTGTGTATTTTACTATGACAAAAAAATTGAAGGAAAAACCCAGAACAAGCCCAGGGTGAAAGGCACAGGCTCTCCTAGTGCCCACACGCTCTTGGTCTGGTGACTGTGGACGGTCATCAGAGGTGATGGTGAGTTCACAGGGAACCACCCAGGAAAGTCATCAGCCCAATTCCCACATCAGCCCCACCCCAGGACACTCTTCTTCAGTACCTGGTGAGGGTGTTCAGCATCCAGGGCTCCTCAAGGTCCACCTCAGGAGAAGTCAATCTGCCCGCAGGATGCATAGTTCCCAAAGCTGTCCACGGTGAACCTCTGAGAGATGTGAATGGAATTGAGCTTCAAAGAACCAAAGTGGAAGTTCTCAAACAACTGGAAAGAAGAATGGGAGGCCCAGAATGAATGATGCAGAGAATTAGAGATGAAAATATTAAACGTCAGGTTTGTGTAAAACCCCAAACCACCACAACCCCACCAAGCCTCTCCTGTTCTTCCTTTTGGAATTTACGGTGAATAAGCATCCTGAAGAGGAGTGATGGGGGCGGGGTGAGAAAAGAACAGCCAGTTCCTCCCTCTGATTAATTTTAAAGTCTCCCCTGACAAGATGCACTAGAGAAAGAGGCCTGGAAAGTCACAGCCAAAACCTGTCTATGAGCAGCTATGGCCAAGGACGTGTGACAAGCATCCTGGGACCAGGCGTGGACTCTCCTTTCTGACTTAGGCCACCAGAGTCCTGCTTTGTTACAGCTGGATGGAACACACACCTCTGCTTTGTTGGCAGCACCTGCTAGGAGCACTGACCAACACAAAGAGAAGTCAGGGCTCCTGGCCCACAAATGAGGGGTGGGTCCAGGCCTCCAATGAGGGACACAGACCTCCAGAGGGACACTTCCACTAAATGACAGAACAAGTCTGAGTGATGTTATAAAAAACCTTTCATCAGAGTGGATTCAAATCCTCTTTATGACAATCTTCCACTTTCTAAGAGCTTTCAAACGTTCCATGCTCCAGGAGGGAGCTGACCTTGTGATCAGCCATATGGCAGAATCCAAAACATCAGAGTACATCCCAGAAAAATGAAGGCATGCTGTTTGGCTAAGAGGAAAGGACTTACTTCTGTCAAAAACTGCTCTTTCTTAAAATGTCAGTGGGGCTCCAGGACAGCCCCCATGCCCTGCACTGCAAGAACGAGGGCCTTGGGAGTGCTAAAAACAAGCTCTTTCATGAGCTACACACTCATCCCCAAGTAAGCCTCTCAATTCGTGTACCCAGCACTGCCTGAGTGGAACTTAAGGGTGGGACCTTTGCACAGTGGTGGTGACTATCTCTTTATTCATTTTTATTCCACCTTCCACACCCAGGAACTTCAGCCACTGCTGCTTTCCTCTTCCTACAATTAATGGCCTAGAAAAATGCCTGAGGTTCATTAAAGGCTAACTTTACAAGGCTCAGCAAATATCGATTCTTCGACATGACATCAACCTGACCCCAAAGATCTATTTGGAGCTTGTGTGCTGCACTGTCTTGTCTTTCAGAAAGCGGACCAGCTCTTGCCTGCATTGATTCACACAATTAACTTCTCCTCCTGGCTCTGGCAGCCAGTTCGAATCATATCCCCTGTGCTGTACAGAAATCCAGCCTGAAACAGTTATCTCCTCTCCCTTTGCTGAACATTCATTTAAGGTGAAAGCCACATCAATGAGACTGACAGATTTATAGCTTTGCAAACTGATGCCTTCTCAGTATAGCAAAGACATAACAAAGAAGCAATAACAGACAAGAGAAAACAAAACTAAGAGGGAACTCACAATACTCTCCATGAGTACTTTTTAAGGACTGGCAGCCTATGAGTGCTCTACCACCTTCTCTGTTTTCTGTTTCCAAGTAACAAAGTCATCACAGCCATGCTCTGGAAGGGACCTATGATTTCACTTTGCCTTCTGCAGTGACCTCTGAAAGGCAGGCTCTGCCACAGAGTCCCCTGCTTCTGGTTGATAATAAAGTTAGCTGGTCATGATTTCAATGTAGTATTCACAAACATTAAGAGAAGGAACATTGGGCTGGGGATTTAGCTCAGTGGTGCTGCGCCTGCCTTGCAAGCACAAGGTCATGAGTTTGATCCCCAGTACCACAAAAAAAAAAGAAAGAAAAGGCCGGGGATCTAGCTCAGTGGTTCCACCACCTGCCTTGCAAGCAGAAGGACCGAACTTCGAGCCCCAGTACCAAAAAAAAGAGAAAGAAACAAAGAAATCAATCAATCAATCGATCAATCCAAGAGAAAGAACATAAACTCTCCCACTCTGCTAAAGCAGTGCAGGGTTGGGAAAGGAGTGATGAGGTCAATGTGACTTACACAGCCCATGGGAGCTGCCTGGCCAGGGCCGATGAGGCCATTCATTGCACCAACCAGGAAGAGGGAAAGATCTTAGAGGGCTGAGATCCAAAAGACGAACAAAGTGTGAGCCCTGTAAACAGTAAAATGCTACTGAAAATGGAGAACTTCTGGTGATGTTTTTAAGATCTCTCTGCTCTCCTTGAACCTGTACATATTTTATCTACCTAAGTAGCCATCATCTTTCATATCTTTTGATAACATCAGAGCAAACGTGTTTCTCATCCAGAAGTTCCTAGTGTAGTGCCAATCTTCATATCAACCTTTCCTGTCTGTTCCTGTTCTTTCTCAATGTTTGTGATGATTTCATAACATATGATTTAGAAACAATTTTTCAGTTATTTTATTGCTTAGTCATTGTTATATTTTTAAGTCTTTCTTTTAGGTCTATCAATTATTTCTAGTGACTCATTCAAATATAAGCTCTATGGAGCGAAGAGCTGAATCCAAGTATATACTGTGAGAGCATCTAATAGTAGCTGCATATGATAATAAATATGTATTGGACAAAATGAAAACTAAAACTAATACTGTAGATGTCTGTGTATATCTATCTATCTGAAAAAACAATGACATGTGCTTGTACATATAAGTTACCATCAAAGAATCCCTGAACAGGACTTACTAAAGCTATATTACCTCTAGTCTGGGTGCAAGGGACATATCTCTGTTTTGACTAGTTCTCAAGAAATTATCTGTGCTGAGGGCTGGGGATTTAGCTCAGTGGTTCCAGTGCCTGCCTCACAAGGGCAAGGTCTGAGTTCGATCCCCAGTACCCCCCAAAAAAGAAATTATTTGTGCCGGGAGTGGAGGCATATGCCTGCAATACCAGCACTTAGGAAGCCGAGGCAGAAGAATCACTGCAAGTTTGATTGAAGCCAGCCTGGGTTACATAGTGAGTTCAAGGACAGTCTAACCTACATAGTGAGACCCTGTCTCGAAACAAAACAAAACACAACAAACACTAAAAACAAGAAATTATTTGTATAGCTGTTCATGGTGGCGCATGTTTGTAATCTCACTGGTTGGGAGGCTGAGGCAGGAAGGTTTAGAGTTTGAAGCCAGCCTGAGCTACATAGCACAATCCTGTCTCAAAACCAAAAAAAGAACTGTAGTCTGTAATGAAAATTTCATGTACTCCTTAAAATTCCTACTCGCTCCTTGTTTATCAGGTTAGATACCCTCTTGGCTCCAGCCCTGAGGTAAGTGGCGCCGAGCACATGCTATCCTGCAGTTTTATGGCTCTGTGCAAACCAGAAGAAAGAAATGCTGCAGACAGGGCGTGCCTGCCTGCAAACAGTACTGAGTGCTGTGCTCTGTGATCTGTACCCTTCTCCAAATGCACTTTCTACTTAAATGAAAGAAGACAGGCAGCAAAGGCTAAGTGTGGGATGAGAAGATGAGAGGTCCAGGCACTTGATAAATGCTGCAGGAGGTGAGGAATCACTGGGCGCTGAGGGCCAGCTCCCTGGAGGAGACCAGAATGGAGCAGGTCCTCCAGGCAAGTACAGGATGGGGCTAGGCTGGGGTTTGGCAGTTCAGCTGTTTGGAGGGGTCCTGAAAAGAGGCGGTGAAAAAGACCTACAAAGGGAGAGGCAGATGGAGGGGACCCTGCAGGTCAGGCTCTGACGGTGGGTGCTTTAGGGAGATGGCTGGCCTGGTACTGGCTAGAGAAGAGATCGTGAGAAAGGTGAGGCCACCCTGGCAGTGTCCCTTACTGACAGCAGTGGTGTGAAGGATGGAACAGATGTGAGACACCTGGAATGAGACAGAAGATTGGGGACTTTTCAGAGCAGGAGAAGGAGACAGTAAATCAGGGCACCAGGGCACAGGAGGGCACCCTGACAGTAACAGAGCACTTCTGAGAGAGGGCGACTTTACAGGGAAATGCAGGCAGGTCTGTTTTGACACTGTGGCCAGATCTCTCACTGTATGCGTGCCACACCCTCTCCAATCTCTGGCCCTCCTGACAGGCTAGGAATAGCCATTAAAGACATGAATCCTGTAGCACTGTGAGATGGAAATATAATTACAGTAAAGAGCTTTACAACTGTCCATCTTTTTAGTGAGTTCTTTATATATTAGGGAAATGAAGCCTTTGTCTCTGTTACAAATTCCAAATGTATTTCCCCCAGTTCATCATTTCTCTTTTGCCTGTGTTTATGATGGTGTTCACTATGGCAACTTAAATTTAAATTCTTAGGAACTTAAATTTACCTAATGGGAGATTTTTAAAAACGAAGTGACCTAATGCCTACTGACCTAATGTGGTTCTCCATTAAAAGATCAAGGTGAACGATCAACATGTGCCAGTACAGACAACAGCACTGAGGGCCGGGGATTTAGCTCAGTGGTTCCTGTGCCTGCCTCGCAAGCGCAAGGTCCCGAGTTCGATCCCTGGTACCAAAAAAAAAAGAAACAAAAAACAACAACAAAAAAGACAACAGCACTGAGAAAATAAACTTGGACTGGAGCCTCAGGAGCCAGTGAGCCGGCGGCCTGGGGGCAGAAGTGAATTGCCCAAGGCACACAGCAAGCAGAGACGGATGTGTTTCAGGACGGGCCACCCCAACACCGGACAGTGGCACTAAAGGGCAGCAGAAGCAGAAAGGTCTCTCGTCTCCCACTGCCCTTCTCCCCTGGAGCCAGCACTGAGACCCCCGTTGGCATCCTGATCTGGCAAGACATAGGGTGCAGTCTGAACCAACAGGCCTTGTGAATACTGGGACTCTGAAGTCTGTACCCCAAAGGACTGCTTGGGAACGCTGAGCACTGCCGCTGAAGGACAGCAGAAGGAGCCTTAGGAGCTGAGAATCAAGGCCTCTCAACACAGGGAGGGGCGCTCTGAAGCTCCCCCATCCGACTGAGGGAACCTCTTGCAAAAGAAGCTGTCTTCAACCCCTCCCTAGAACCTCACACACTCCCAGAGAGAAGAGGCTGAGTCCTCACCACGCCCAGCGGACTTTTCGCCTATCTGGGC